TCTTGAAACAGGGCTTTAAGTGTAAAATATCGAACTTGTCCTTTAAGTGAAGTGGATAATAGAGACTATCTTTTGGATCAGCTCTACATAAACTATTGTTGTGTTGTGCATGTGCTAGACAGTGAGTCAACACCAGTCACAAGGTAATAAGATACTTACTTGAAAACAACATCCTGCTCTTTCTGTTTCATGGTGAGAATATAAACATCAAACAATCTTTATTCTTCTTTATAATTGCTGAAAAACATTTTCAATAGCTGCCCTCCCAACCATATGATATTCCGTCTTTGCACAATTATTACAAATGAAAACAAGTGAGGCAGTCACGTACAAATGTTAGATCTTAGCTTTAAGACAACAAGGGGTTATTTGTTGCACTGTGGTCAGCTCTGATGTCAAGTATTATTAAGCTCAAAATTGTTGATGATAACCATTCACTTTACATTAAATATTTTTTGCCCGGTCATTGAGCAGTGTTGTTATTGTTAGCTTATAAACAAACGGAAACTGTTAAAAATAGTTTTTATTAAGATTAAATAAAATAACATATAAATATTTTCAGCTAGTTACGAAGACAACAGTTTTCATTTTTGTTTAAGTTGAAGTATTAAAATTAAGCTAAAACTGAAATAAAAATAAATAAGTTACATTTAAGTATATATATATATATATATATATATACTTTTTTTATTTATTACAAAAGCACATAAGGAAATTTATTCAAATGAATATTTATGAAAATATTCAAATGAAACCTATTTCAAAATATATATAAACAATACTAAAATAACACAGGGGTAAAGAAGATTTTGAGACAATCTATATGCATGTGTACTCCTAAACATTGACATCATTATTAACATTTAGCAGATATTTAGTTCTGGTTTAAAATGCAGTTTTTCTCTTCTGGGGGAAAAAAGTTGATGACTCATCATGACCTACAGATTCTAGAATGAGAAAGTCCCTCCCCCATTGAGCCTATCATCTGTGATGTAAAAGCTTTTTGGGATATTACATTATTTATTTATTTTTAAATGCAGAACTATAGTTTAATAGAAAATACATCATCACAACACAGAAAACTGCACTTATCAATGGTGTTTTTTGGCTTTTAGTATGAATATATTAGCCTTTCTGTTATCTATAAGCTAGTGTGCTCCAAAACAATGACGCATTTAGAAGATTTAAGCATTCAGGACTCTCACTTCCGCAAATATGGATCAATGATTTTGATGACATCACTCTGCACTTTAGCTTCTCATCAGATTTTCTGTCCAATCAAATGCTTTCTAGAATGAACTAAAGTGTCCACTTATAGGGGATAGGGAATGATTCAGATAGTGTAAATGTGCTTTCCATTCGGGCGAATGAAGTCGCGTGAACTGCCGCAGTGCGCACACCGTCCGTTTCAGTCCAGAGACACGATAGTACAGAGTGGATCATATGTGCTCATATGCGGATGAGCTGTGATATAAATGAAATGCTATTGACTGTTTTAAAAAAGGGGAGGAGCTGTCCCACCCTGTCTTCCTGTATCAGTGGAAATTACGTCAACACATTGAATAATGCTGCACGTTTCAAGGCATTTCAGTGGGCCTTTTAAGTGTTCAGCTAAGTAAAGTTATTGTAAGATGTCACCTTGGCCACTTGAGACTTGTTCTACTTAACTTTTATAATTGTTTATTTCCTCCCAATGTAAAGCCACTATCACCTTTTACATGAACTCTGTAATTGTAATGTCATGGGAATCAGAGATACTGGTTACAGCTGAGGTCAGAGGTGTCATTTCCTTTTCAGTCTTAACCTCTCCAGGGAGCTCAAATGACCCAGACTATACTCTGCTTACTCTGACCCAGATAGCTATACTCAATGAAGATGTCAGTCAGACTAACACTTAAAGTTTCTTACAAAGAATTTCCATTGAAAGGATATTGTAAAAAGTGTGCAATGAGAAATACCACTCTGTGGATAAAAAAAAAACAGCTTCCTTCCAGTCCGTTTCAGTTTAAAGCTACAATATGTAATTTTTATCGCCACTAGGGGTCGCTAACCTCTTACAATAATAAAGCCGTAGGTTGATGACGCATAAGCGGAATTATGGAACTTGTCATCATGCTGATGGATCTAATAATGTTTATGGATGAGTGAATACATTGACGTTTTTAACATGACTGTGGGATAGGGCGCAATTGCTAATGAGAGACAGATATCAGCGCCACACGCGAGTCCCGCGGATATAAAGGAAGGACATTTCTTTCTACCGAACTACCCGCAAGTGCTGAATTACTACACACAGGTCAGTTTATTAGACAATTAAACTTGTGAGGTAACGCAGCACTGTTTCACTTGGTCTACTCTACACTGTGACTATTACACTAAACTGCATTTGAGTGTGGTGAAAGTTATAATGTTATACTATGTGTTAGTTTGTTGGCTGTATGAGACTAGCAGTGAGCTAGATCAACATTAGAATAACATACAGATCATATTCTAACATTTCATCATGTTGAGCTATATAACATTGATTAGTTTTATGTACATTTGCTCACCTGTCTAATAAAGTACATGCAAGAGCGGCGTCTCTGTAAAGTCGCTGATATTGATTCTCGTGTTAGTTCTCCTTCTGTCCCAAAGTCTGCTTGCCATGGCCCACAATGTTTGAACGAAACAACAACAGCGTGAGCGTGCCGCTAGACGTAACGCAGTTGTCCACATCTGTCGCCATGGTTACTATGGCAGTACAAGCAGAAACCAGGGATAACGCGGATATTATGTCATTGACAGGTGACAATGTCCAGGGACGAGCCATTATTTAAAATTGGAATTTCTCTGAAATTAAAAATCTTTGGGAACTTTTGGGATATTGTAAGTACACAACTGCAGGAAATATATTACACTGTGCAAGTGATTGTTGGATATTTTATTACAGTAATCTTACATATAGTACCTTTAAGTGTTTGTCTGGTTTTGTCATCTGATTTTTTTTGTTCAGCAATTAATGTTGAATCAAGAGCAGTTTTTGCTTTATATCATAGTGGAATGAATGGCTGAATGTACAGCATAAGGAGATAAATTACCCAAATTTAGGTCTGTTTCACACAGTATGTATAAGCAGTTTCAGTTACTGGCTTATCACACCCTTCCTGGACGTCATTCACACTTGCAGCGTAGCAGAAGCATTATAGAATTAGGTTGTGAATGTTGTTAAAAATAATCAATGTACCAACCCTTAAAAAATACTTTATAGTATATAGCTTTTCTGTATATAGAGCCGCAACTGTGAGACCCAGCAGAAATGCTGTGTGAAACAAGCATTGAGTACACATATCAGAACATCTCTTGTGGTTTTCCTTATTCGTAGTGCAGTGTCTCACTCCACATATTTGACTTATTATCTCATCTATCAAAAAGATTAATTGTATTGTACTTTTGTGTTAATAACTACATCAAAACATAATAATTTAAATAAACTCCAAGCATGCTTCAAAATGCATGACAGGAAACAACTGCAACTAACTGCAAACAAGAAGAACAAATACCAAAAAAGGGACACACTACATTGCAAACAGAAACACAAGAGACAAAAGAAAACACAAGATAGAAACATTTGAGACAAAATGAGAGATGCATTGATTGTAATCACAAGACAGAGTCAGTACAAATAAACACTTCAATATGACCAAGTAAACAGATGTGTTTATAATGTAGTTTTGAAGATGCATGGGAAGAGTTGAAATTATGCCAGAGGGAGGGAATTCCAGGATCTAGGGGCCGTGGTCGATTTATTGTCAGAGGAGGACAGTCTGAACTTCTGAACACTTTTTTTGTGTGAAATTACCTATAAAGCAGTTGTACAGACATTGCATGGTATTTCTTTAAGATTATCCATGAATTCATATCTCATTTGTACCAAAAACTGTGTTAACATTCTTATTTGCATATTTGCTGTGTTAATGTCATTGACCATTTGAACACTGCACACAACCTGTTTATACTGTAGAACCTCACTGATTCCTCACTATGCAATCCAGTTTGTCTTAAACAAATTTGACTGAAATTCACCCCCTTTTAAAAATACAAGTGTGAAATGTTGCTTTTTGGGGTTTAAAAAGATGATAACCCGGGGTTAAGCACAGTGTGAAAAGCCCAAATGCTGTTGATGGTGGTTGTGAATGGCAGGCTAACAGGAAAAAGGGGCACAATAGGAGGATGTTGATTCAGTGTTAGCTGCTGTTATCAGACGCCGGACCTCCACGTGGACCAGGCCACACAGTGACATCTCAATAACTCTTATTATCACTTGAGAAATATTTTTATGGAGTTATCAAATTCATGCATGCATGTGTGGTGAGTGTGTGTTGTAGTAAAATCAGAAAAACAAGGAACGGGTTTAGAATGGTTCTCCTATTCCCTAGTTTTACTTTTGTAGTGCATGTAATGTGTTTTTTTGTTGTTGTTTTTTTGCTTTGAGACTCTCCAGTGCTTGAGGAGCAAAAGTGAAAGGTCTCCAAACCTCTGGCACTCTGAGCGTAAAGACCATCGCTACTTCCTCCCAGTTAGATCTGAGATCACAAACACATCTGAATCGAACACAAGCGTCTTTTAAAACTGTTTATTTGAGTTGAGCGTAATGTGTTTCCCCATGTTTCTCTTTTGTTTGATGTGGGCTGAGACCATCTCCACTATGTTTCCTTATGGTTTGGAAAGATGAGACGTGCTTCCGCCCCAAGTGCTGGGAATCTTTGAGACTTTCCAGAGCTCTCTGGTCCCAGAGGACAGCTTGTGTATTTCTCCTGAAATTTTCATTAAGCTATATATAACTTATTTTATGGATGGCTAAGGTGAATCAGGACTTGTTTTTAGTTTCGAATGCAAAGTCTTAGTCTTCAGTAAGACAAGTGCATTTATATATGTTAAAGTGACACCAATCCAAGACCATTAAATAGACATTCATTTGTCCATACCTTAATTTCAATGTATTGTTTTTTGTGCCATTGCAGTTTCGATGTGGAAAATGGCCCTTCTGCAAGCTGTAGTCCTTTGGATCCCCAGGCCTCACCGGGTTCTGGCCTGGTTCTGCACACAAACTTTCCCAGCCACAACCAGCGGAGAGAGTCCTTCCTCTACCGCTCAGACAGCGACTATGACCTTTCACCAAAGTCAATGTCTCGAAATTCTTCTATCGCCTCAGAACTGTGAGTATAGTGGTATTTTTCATTGTTTTAATGTATTAGTAGCTACCTTTTATTTACTGAAACAGTTGAAAACAACAACTTAATATTTAATTGGTTTGCTGGTCCAAACTGGACTGGTTTCTGGGCTCTTGTCAGCTGTTTAGGCAGAAAGACCAGCTAAACTATCTTAGATCATCTAAAACCACCAAACCATCCTAGGCTGGTTTATTTCTTTGTTTTTATGAGAGAAAGATTTGTTGTAAATCTGAACACTTTTTCCTGCACAACGCATCTTTTAAGGATGGCTATAGTTGTCAACTGTTGTCATACATTTTAGTAATCATTAAATCATCTTCACTAATTAGTCAACTTTCTAGGAAAACACTTTTTTTTGCCACCATATCTAAATCATTCAGCATCTGGTAATCTGAGGACCTTGAAGTTGTTTAATATGCCTTTCTTTCTTCAACGCTAATATTTCTGTTTCCAAACATGTCTACTGAAAAGGTAAAAATGGAGGCAGGGCTGTTTTAGTGAAGTTGATTTATGCACTGCTGCTCATGGCAGTGAGATTTGCATGCCAGGACGTATCTCAATCAAGGCCTTATTTCCTAAGCCTTCTGGCAGTAACTGTCTGGAATTTTATGAGAACGCATTTTCCAGAGTCTTAGATGCCAAATATCTGTTGAACCCTGAGGAATGTGCTGGATTGTTCTTGTTAACCAATTTTTTTTTTTAGTGCCATTTAGGGTCCTGATACTAAAAGGAACCTCTCGTTACCTCTTTTGATAATAAGTCTGATTCTGAGTTCTAATTCCATGGAATATAAAATGACATCTGACATATAAAGTTGAAAGTCAACGTGAATTGCTGGTCGCAACCCACTTTACTTCTGTAATGCGGTGTATTTCAGAGTGAAACTAAATATTTAACACAGGAAATTTAGCCAGTTCACAGTAAGACCAGTAACAACCATTAAGGAAGTGAATAGGGTCCGTTTAGATTTTTTGTTGACTTGAAATAATAGCGTTTGCTTTGTTTGAGTGTCAGTTGCTCAAGATGTTATTCCCTCTTGATTGCAGGCATGGGGATGACCTGATAGTCACACCTTTTGCTCAGGTAAACACATCAGTGGCACGTTTCTTTAAGGATTATTTTTCAAATGGACGTGTGCTTTGTTTTACCTCAGCTTTATTTCTCACTTTTTCTAGGTTCTAGCAAGCCTTCGAAGTGTCAGGAACAACTTTACTGTCTTGACCAACGTTCAGTGCACATCTAATAAGTAAGTATTATTGCAAACAGAAGCTATGACATTAAACAAACTTAAATAGGCAATTCAAATAGACTAAATCCAACCCCACCCCCCAAAAAATAACATTGTATTTTACCGCCGAGTTTTTAAAAGGATTGTTTTTCGTTCAAAAAAGAAAAATTCAGTTTGATTCAAGAAAGTTTGTAAAAATTATTTTGACATTGCTCAGTTAAAAAAAAATGCACATGCTGTAATGCGATGGGTGTCTATGGGGCAAGAATCTGTTCAGTATTGTAAGAGAAATTAAAAATGTAAATACATGCACACTGTTTCACCACAAATCTTGACTAGAATAGAATCTCTTTCTAGCCTGAAGAATAAAATCACTTAATCTGTGAAAAGTTATATCCAATCTTACATCTCCTCTGACTATTTAAAGCAACTAAACTGTGTAACTTTCACATGATACATGAAGGAAACCAGAGGAATATGATGAAACTATCCACAAAATACTGTTTACATGGAGCAAACTCCACCAGCAGGAATTACGTCAGAAGGGCAGACCATAAGTGTTAGGAACAGTATTCTTAATGCTGCAAAAATGCCAATTTAGTTTTTAAAGCTCAAATAACACAGGTTAGTTTATGAAATAATTAATATAAGTGCTATAACAGCAATATGTACTTACAAATAATAAAAAAATTCATGTTTTAATAATAAATACGACCACAAGAGGACAGTCTTTCCTAATATTTGTTTTATGGACTCTGCCACCCATGCGCACACTGACATTTAACTAGAGCCATTTTCCACTTATCGTGTCACCAGTTTTCAAGATTTCAATCCCTACCAAAAATCACTTGCCTACAGAGAAGATTTTCCAGATGCCCCTAAATTCCATTTTTCCAACTGAGAGATGAGGGTAAATGGTGGAAAAGGTGTTTATTCGCAGTTATTCATGGAGGGAATATTTTCCCCATTTCAAATAACCATCTGCGTCAGGGCAATTATACCGCACTGTTAGAGGCTTTTGTTAGGCGCCTTTTCTTGTTTATTCGAAGGGAAAACCCGTTCAGAAGAACTTAATGGGAAATTCTTCAGAAGTATGTGCAGAAAAGAGGACACACCCTGTGATATAATAATAATAATAATACGTATGTGTTAGTATCACATCAAATCCATGATTCACTTAAGAAAGATATGTTGCAGAGTGCACAGACTTGAATATAGTTTCTTTAATTCTTCTTTAATGTGGAAATATGCTCTTTGCTTTGACATTATGCATCCTGTTATGGTTATAGATGACTCAATAGAATGGCAAATGGGTGTTTTTTCAAAAATACACACATAATTGATTGAAATGCAGGGGTTTTCAGCTTGTGTCAAAATTGTTTGTTTGTCTTTATTTGGCTACAATTTCAGTAATCTTTTAACATTTCTCCTTGCAGGAGGTCCCCCGTGTCCAACCAGCCCCCCATTACCAGAGTGTGCCTACCTGGTAAGTCTGCATATAATTTCACATATTCATAAATGTATCCCAAATGCGGTCCAAAAGTCTCAGACCAATACTGAAAGACAACCTTTTCAGATTTAATACAGTTTTTTCATTACAAATGATATAAAGAGCAAACTGATTTAAGTGAAAAGTGAGTGCAGAATCTTAAATATTGACTCTTCACTGTAGTTCCATGGTTCAAAATCCTAAAAAGAAACCTAAAAAACATGGTGAAACCCAGATTTTCAGTATGTCCTCTTTTAATATACAGGCATTTCCTATGCTTTTAAAGTAACTCCATCTTGAAGATCATGTGTTTGTGTGTGTGCCTGTAAACACGTGTTTTGCTGTGGTGTGTGTCCATATATTTTTAATGATAGAGAGACCTCTTGCCATGCTACGTGACTGCCCACGGCGTTGCCCTCTTGTATCCCTCATCATCACTCATCTCCGCCTCAGCTTCTACTGATTGACCGGGCAGTGTTGAAACGTTTAGTAGACTAACGTACACACACATTCAAGCATGGTGCCCATATTAGTGGCTGTTTTGTCTAGTTTTACAGAACGTGTTAGACCATAGGAAAAGGCCATGGCTGCTACATGTTGGTCTTTCACACGCACGCACACCAGCCAAACACAATAATGCAACGGACAACAGCCTGACACAGCCGAAGGTTTTGTATAACCGGTGGGAAAATTCCTCATAGTTCACTCTCTGTCCTTGAGGATGGCTCCCAGTGTGATATCAGAAAACACGCCAGACAGAGATTTCAGAAAAACTGTAATCTATTCTAACTAAACAGAACAAGGCCATTTACTGGAGCCTCTATTATACAGCCCAGACTGTTTCCTTAGAAATGTCAAGAAAACCTTGGCGGACTGAAGTCATTTCTGAAGGAGAATCAGAGAGAGATTGTTCACATTTCATCAAGGAATAGATGAAAGAGGCTTTATATAAACACAATCATTAGCAGGTTTTGTTTAAAGGGATAGTTCGGCCAAAAATGATATTTAACACATGCATTACTCACCCTCAAGCCGTTCGAGATGCATATGTCAATCTTGTTTCAGACGAACACATTTTCAGTTATTTTAGAAAATGTCTTAGACCCTTCAGTGGATATAATGTGAAGCAATGGGGTCCACCTCCTTCAAGTCCCAAAAATGTGCATACATTCTTCACAAAAGTAATCCATCCGGCTCCAGGGGGATAAACGAAGGCCTTCTGAGGGTAATCCGTGCGGTTTTGTCGTAAAAAAATATACATATTTAAAACTTTATAAATGAAAATATCTGACTGCCGGCAACGATCGACGCGCGTTCACGGGTGATGGAAGTCGGCGTACGAGGTAGGACGTAGCGTAGGAACCGTCGTGAGTGACGTAGAACGAACGCGCCAGCGCAGCCAGAGAGCAGAGCAAAACAAAACACTTCCATCACCCGTGAACGCGCGTCGATCGTTGCCGGAAGTCAGATATTTTCATTTATAAAGTTTTAAATATGTATATTTTTACGACAAAACCGCACGGATTACCCTCAGAAGGTCTTCGTTTATCCCCCTGGAGCCGGATGGATTACTTTTGTGAAGGATGTATGCACATTTTGGGACTTGAAGGAGGTGGACCCCATTGCTTCACATTATATCCACTGAAGGGTCTAAGACATTTTCTAAAATAACTGAAAATGTGTTCGTCTGAAACAAGATTGACATATGCATCTCGAACGGCTTGAGGGTGAGTAATGCATGGGTTAAATATCATTTTTGGCCGAACTATCCCTAAAATGCAATAAAATTGTGTAATTGACTGTATTCTTGTAACACAACGTTATGTATAAGAAAAGCTAAAGAATCAAAATGGTAACACTTTATTTTGATTGTCCCCTTAGACATTCTACTAACTAAGTAACTTTGTAACTACATATCAACTAACTTTCAGCTGAGTATTAGTAGACTTTCTGCTTAATGTCTTCTAACACAGCCTAATTTTGATGCTCCCCAACAGACATTCTACTGACTATAATGTTGTAAGTACATTATTTTACTGAACTACACCCTAACATCTATCCCTAACCTAACAGTCAACTACCATCTACTACTCTAATGAGAGTTAGTTGCAAAATTACTTCTAGGCAGCAGAATGTTTAAAATGGACTATCAAAATAGTGTATCCCCATATTGGATGAACGTTAGTATAAAAGCACTGTACAAAAAGTAGCGGTAGTAAAGGTGTTGGTGCACTTGTATCAGGCATGTTGTGCCTTGGTGCTCACTTGGGAGACAGGTTTGAATCCATCAAATCCATCTAGCAAAAGCCCTAAAATAAAACAAGCTTGCAAACTTCACTAAGCTCTTTTTGGGGGGTAAATTGGATTATAGAAGGAAAAATAAGCTTGAAATAGTATGGGAAAGGTTGAACTGTCAGTATAAGACTATAGATTGCTAGTGTTTGACCTGTACAGTCTGGTTTGGTGGCGGTAATATAGGATCCTGCATTCACAGTTGAATCAATATATTTCTAGGAAAGATGGAAAAATCAAATGAAGTGGAAGAGAAGGGACATACAGTAGAATATTGTCCATGTGTGTATCATTTAGCTATAAGGGGGCGGCAGGAGTACAGCTCCATCTAACACTGAGTAGATACGGTAAAATGCTCAAAGTGCTCTTGTAACGTCAATAATCGGGCCATACAGCAAGTCCGGCCTACAAAAAAAAAAAGGACCAGGGGCCTCATGTATCAACACTGCGTACGCACAAAAACACGGCGTACGTCAGCTTTCACGTTCACGGCCAGATGTACTAACAGTGAAATTAACTTAAGAATGTGCGTTCCTCCAAGTAAACTTCATGTCTGGCGTACGTACATTTGTCGTGATTTTTGTCCGTTGGCGACTCATAGAGGCAATAAAGTGAAGTGGCAAACATTACACTACGAATTGTTCTATCGCACCACCAGCTGTCAGATATTGCTTATAATTTGTAATTGATAAATTATTTGACATATTATTGTCACACGAGTCTTATTAAAATATTCTATTATGCAATTAAGTAAGAACATATATAAAGCATGTGCAAATTGATACAACCCGTCTAGCAATGGCAGTGTTGGCTTAACTAGGAAAATAAAAAATAAAACCTCATTAATTCGGTCAGTAAAGATAAAAAAGAAAGTAATATTTTTATTCAGCAAGGACACATTGAATTTGTTTAAAAGTGAGAGTAAATGCATTTATAATGTTACGAAAGATTATAAGATTTCTATATCTGTTTGATTTAAGTTTTTATTCATTAAAGAATCCTGAAAATACTATATCACGGTTTCCACGAAAATATGAAGCAGAAGCACACCTGTTTTCAACACTGATAATACTCAAAAATGTTTCTTGATCATCAAATCATCATATTAGAATGATTTCTGAATGATCATGTGACACTGAAGACTGGAGAAATGATGCTGAAAATTCAGCTTTGATCACAGGAATAAATTACACTGTACTATATATTCACATAGAAGACATTTTCAGTGAAATTTCGTTTCTTGCTTGCTTTAGACATGTTCTTGCAGGTTTCTTTTGCCAAATTGGACTAATTACCATATTTAAATTAATTTAATTGGGGGAGGAGACTGGGTGGGGCGTTGTGCTCGTGCATGTGCGCTCAATTTTACGTTAATTGGGATGTACAAAGAGAATATGCGTGGGATCCTTCGTACGCAGAGATTCATACATCTGCTTTTTTTTGTGCGTACGCACATTTACAGCTTTGTCCGTACGCAATGTTTTAGTATGAATTCAACGCAAGTCTTTGTACATGAGGCCCCAGGTCTTCAATGCATAACGTGGTAGAGAAGTGTCAAGTGGCATTATACTGAAGCAGAGAGCATGAAAAATGCAGTCAGTTGAAGTTCCTGTCAGGTGCGGTGGGTTGTGATTGACGTCAGTTAGCTTGCATGCGGCTTTGTTGACTTCCTCCTAAACCAGGTGGACTGAGATTCACTTCCTGATGCTGTTTAGGCTTGATCGGTCTTTGTGTCTCTGATAAGGGCTGCTATTATGCTGCCAGTTGAGTGTAACATCACAGTTGCTCACCTCTTAGTAAGCAGTTAGTTTTGTAATGTTGAAAATATGCAATAGTCATGCAGAATTAATGCAGAATTTGTTTTGATCATAAATGCCACATCATTTTGGAGGAATAGTTCACCCAAAAATGAGAATGTTGTCATCATTTACTCACCTTCAAGTTGTTCCAAACCTGTATGAGTTTCTTTCTTCTGTTGAACACACACAAAAAAAAGATATTTCAAAGAATATTGGCAATTAAAAAGTTGACAGTAGCCATTGACTTCCATAGTAGGAAAAAAATACAATGGAAGTCAATGGCTACCGTCAACTGTCTGGTTACAAACATATCTTATTTTGTGTTCAACAGAAGAAATAAACTCATACAGGTTCTGGGTCTAATCTACTTTTGATCATGCATGATAAGGAAGAGAGACTGCTACGATTGTTCTCTTTTCAGATTAGTCTCTCTATCTCTATCTCTAAAAAATAGCCGTCATTGCAAAAACATAGATACTTTCTCTGTTTCAAAACCAGTTTACACCAAGATCGATAACAATAATGTTGTACAACTAAAGGTAACTATATTAGTGTCACAGCATTAGATGATATTTGTTTATCATAATCATGCTTTAAATGCTTAAGTTCTTAGATTCTGATTGGCTATCAGTGTTTTTATTGTTCATCAGCTATACAACATCGTTCCTGTCATTATTGTTATAGCTGCAGTTAAATCTATTCTAATAGATTTAAAAACTTTCTAGTTATAGACGGTCACATCTCATAACTAACTAAAAAAAAACGTTTTTAGACGTTTTTTATACGTTTGTGTCTCTACACCTTGTATTTTTTCATTTCACTTTTCTGTGACTTGCATTTTTAAATGCAAAAACGTGGTCAGTGTGAATCACCCCTTATAATGCTAGCATCTATGTTTTTGCATTG